TCAACAGGACTTGAATCTTTGGCCAATACCAAAAAAATAATAAAGGAAAAGTATGAATATACATGGAAGACACAGAATGGTCATTGTTTGTAAATGAAATGTTCAGAATAACCAACTAAATCAACCTACAATTATTAGAATAAATATAGGAGTCCATAAAGGTTGCTGGATGTATGTCCGACTTAAAAAATAGTGTTCCCCATATTCGTAATAACCAACTGGAAAATAGAATATAGGATATCATTCATAAGAGCATGAAATACACTAAGGCATCTGAGTTAAGGTAATGAAAATGATTAGGAACTGTATGAGGCCTGGGGCGATGGTACACATCTGTTATCCCAGCTCTTTGGCAGGCCAAGGTGGGAGGATTGCTTGAGGCCAGGAGTTTGAGACTTCATCTCTACATAGTGAGACTTCATCTCTACAAAAATTTCAAAAGCTAGCTGGGCATGGTGGCACGTGCCTGTGGTCTCAGTTACGAGGCTGCAGTGAGCCAAGATTGCACCACTGCGCCCCAGCCTAGGCAAAAGCGAGACGCTATCTCTAAAAATAAATAAATAAATAAGAAAGAAAGAACTGGCCAGGCATGGTGGCTCATTCCTATAATCTCAGCACTTTGGGAGGCCGACGCAAGGAGAGATCACTCAAGGCCAGGAGTTCAAGACCAGCCTGGCCAACATGGCGAAACCCCATCTCTACTAAAAAAACAAACAAAACCACAAAAATAGGCTGGGTGCTGTGGCTCACATCTGTCATCCCAACACTTTGGGAGGCCCAGGTGGGCAGATCTGAGATCAGGAGTTCGAGACCAGTCTGGCCAACATGGTGAAACTCCGTCTCTACTGAAAACACAAAAATCAGCCAGGCGTGGTGGTGCATGCCTGTAATCCCAGCTACTAGGGAGGCTGAGCCATGAGAATAACTGGAACCTGGGAGGTGGAGGCTACCTGGGAAAGTGAGGCAGGAGAATTGCTTGACCCTGGGAGATGGAGGTTGCAGTGAGCCAAGATCGCACCACCGCACTCCAGCCTCGGCAATGCAGCGAGACTCTGTATCCAAAAAAGAAAGAAAGAAAGAAAAACACAAAAATTAGCTGGGCATGGTGGCATATGCTTGCAGTCCCAGCTACTTGAGAGGCTGAGGCATGAGAATTGCTTGAGCCTGGGAGGCAGAGGCTGCAGTGAGCCGAGATCGTGCCACTGCATTCCAGCCTGGGCAACAGAGTGAGACCCTGTCTCAAAAAAAATAAAAATAAAAAAGGCCGGGCGCGGTGGCTCAAGCCTGTAATCCCAGCACTTTGGGAGGCCGAGATGGGCGGATCACGAGGTCAGGAGATCGAGACCATCCTGGCTAACACAGTGAAACCCCGTCTCTACTAAAAAAAATACAAAAAACTAGCCAGGAGACGTGGCGGGCGCCTGTAGTCCCAGCTACTCCGGAGGCTGAGGCAGGAGAATGGCGCAAGCCCGGGAGGCGGAGCTTGCAGTGAGCTGATATCCGGCCACTGCACTCCAGCCTGGGCGACAGAGCCAGACTCCGTCTCAAAAAACAAAAACAAACAAAAAAAAAGAACCGTATGGAGAAAAATATAGTAATGTCTACTGAAGATCATAAAGAAAGAAAAATGAAAGCCTATGTATCATATACTACATAAAAATGTCAGTTCTCTCTAAATTAATCTACAAACCTAACGGGAATCCAATCAAAATACCACTAGGGTTTTTTTTTTTTAGAAATTCAGTGAAGTTGTACAATTTATTGCTTTAAAGTAAAAATAAGGACTTTTGTTGTTTTTCTTTTGGTCCCCCAGGCTGGAGTGCAGTGGCGCGATCTCAACTCACTGCAACCTTTGCCTCACAGGTTCAAGCAATTCCCCTGCCTCGGCCTCCCAAGTAGCTGGGATTACAGGCGCCTGACACCATATCTGGCTAATTTTTGTATTTTTAGTAGAGACGGGGTTTTGCCATGTTGGCCAGGCTGATCTTGATTTTGAGATGGAGTTTCCCTCATTGCCCAGGCTACAGTACAATGGCACCATCTCCGCTCACTGCAACCTCCACCTCCTGGTTTCAAGTGATTCTCCTGCCTCAGCCTCCTGGGTAGCTGGGATTACAAGCGCCTGTCACCACGCCCAGCTAATTTTTTGTATTTTTAGTAGAGATGGGGTTTCACCATGTTGGCCAGGCTGGTCTCAAACTCCCGACTTCAGGTGACCCGCCCACCTCGGCCTCTCAAAGTGCTGGGATTACAGACATGAGGCACCATGCCCGGCCAAATAAGGACTCTTCATGTTGAAGAGTCAGACAAATAAATTAGAAAAAAAGATAAAACTGTCTTCATAAATGGCATGATTGTCTTTGCAGAAAACCAATACAAAGTATGAAAAAGCTACTGGAACAAATAAATGAGTTTAGCAAGGCTGCAGGATACAAAATCAATACACAAAAATCTGTTTTATTTCTATATACTGGCGACAAACACTTGGAAATTAAAAATTTTAAACAACACCCTTTACAATCACATCAAGGTTATGCAATACTTGGAGGCAATTCTGACAAAAGATGTGCAAGACCAATACATTGAAAACTACAAAATGGGGCTGAGAAAATTTATTTTTTAATTTATTTTTATTTTTTTAGAGACAGAGTCCCACTACGTGGCTCAGGCTGGTCTTGAACTCCTGAGCTCAAACGATCCTCCCACCTCAACCTCCTAAGTAGCTGGGACTATAGGCGCACCTCCAGCCTAACTTTTTATATTCTTTGTAAAGATGGAGTTTCGCCACATTACCCAGGCTGGTTTCCAACTCCTGGGCTCAAGCGATCCGTCCTCGGCCTCCCAAAGTGCTGGGATTACATAGCTATGAGCCTAGCTGAGAGAATTCAAAGACCCAAATAACAGAGAGAAATACCATGTTCACCAGACAGAAGTTACCAATTCTCCCTCAACTGACCTACAGATTCAACACAATTCCAATCAAAATGCCAGAAGCCTTTTTTTTTTTTGGTAGAAATTGACAAATAATTCTAAAATTTATATGGAAATGCAGGCTGGGCACGGTGGCTCACCTGTAATCCCAGCACTTTGGGAGACTGAGGTGGGTGGATCACTTGTGGTCAGGAGTTCTAGACCAGCCTGGCCAATAGAGTGAAACCCCATCTCTACCGAAAATACAAAAATTAGCTAGGTTTGGTGGTGCATGCCTGTAATCCCAGCTACGCAGAAGGCTGAGCCATGAGAATCACTTGAAGGCAGGAGGCAGAGGCTGCAGTGAGCTGAGATTGCATCACTGCACTCCAGCTTGGACAACAGAGCGAGACCCTGTCTCAAAAAAAAAAAAGGAAATACAGAGGACCTAAAATAACCCAAATAACTTTTCAAAAAAACAAAGTCAGAGAATTAACACTACCTGATGTCAAGGCTTATTTTAGAAAGCTATAGTAACCAAGACAGTCTGGTATTGGCATAAAGACAGATGAGTAAGTCAGGATAGAAAAGTCCAGAAAGGATAGTCATTTCGACAAATAATGGGGGAACAATAGGATACCAAATTTTAAAATGAAAAAAACTTTGGCTTTCTAATTTTGCAATCTGATAGGTGTAATGAGGCATCTTGTTATTTTAGTTTGGATTTGTCAGGTTGCTGATGAATTTAAGCATCTCTCCACGTGCCTCTCGGGTATTTGGGTTCCTCCTTCTACGAATTGCCATTTTTTTTTTTTTTGAGACAGGCCCAGGCTGTGGCCCAAGCTGGAGTGCAGTGGTGTGATCTCTGCTCCCTGCAACCTCTGCCTCCCGGGTTCAAGCGATTCTCCGGCCTCAGCCTCCTGAGTAGCTGGGATGACAGGTGTGCACCACCACACCCCCACTATTTTTGTATTTTTAGTAGAGACGGGGTTTCACTATGATGGCCAGGCGATGAATTGCCTATTCTTATCTTCTGCACATTTGTCTACTGTCGGTCTTTTTCTCGTCGATTTACAAGCATTCCTTTTTTTATTCTGAATATTAATCCATTGTTTTCTGACGTTGTAAATAAGTCCTCCTAGTGGTTTGTCTTCTTGGTTAAGCCAGATGTTAACTTGGATTTATCCTGCATAAAACTGAAGACTCGAGATGCATCAAACACTGTATACAGAAAAGTGCCGCGTATCCTACAGAAAGCTACAGACAGTTTGGGGTCAGAATCATTTGAATTGTTTCAAGTGTTGGGCTATTACAATTAAAGTGGCTGTAAACGTGTGCACACAGGTTTCTGCGGGAACAAAAATTTCCATTTCAGCCAACTAATGTTTACGGTTCAATCATGATTTCACAACTTACAGTACCTGCCACTCTTCTCATACTAAATTTGATATGTCTCCACTGTTAAACTATTTCTTACCGTCAATTTATAATTATTAAACTTTTTTTTTTTTTTTTTTTTTGAGACAGCGTTTTGCTCTTGTGGCCCAGGCTGGAGTGCAATGGCAAAATCTCAGCTCACCACAGACCTCACCAACCGGGTTCAAGCCATTCTCCTGCCTCAGCCTCCCGAGTAGCTGGGATTACAGGCATGCCATGTGCCACCATGCCCGGCTAATTTTGTATTTTTAGTAGAGACGAGGTTTCTCCATGTTGGTCAGGCTAGTCTCGAACTCCCGACCTCAGGTGATCCACCCACCACGGCCTCCCAAAGTGCTGGGATTACAGACACGAGCCACCGCGCCTGGCCTAATGATTAAACTTCTTTCAGCACCAGCCCCACTGATGTCACAACTTCACCCATTAGTCAATAACTTGTCTTTGCTGAATTGGATACTAACTTTTAAATCATTTAAAAAATATTCTCTTAAATTTTATGTGCTATTTGCAATGTAACGGTTATCGACATGACACAGTTTTAAGTTTAATCTGCATCATCAACATTTTCTCTATCACTTTCTTCAGTTTAAGCAGTCAACAAAACCACCGCTCCAGCCCTGATCTGTAGCATTTGCGGGTTTCCACCGTGTGACTTCCGCAGGACTGCCAAGTTCAAGCCGCCAAGGCCAGGGCATTGCCAGCAGCTGGGCTGAGCCCTGTTCTCCCTGCGTTCCCACTGCCCAGTGGCAACAGCTGTGAACGGCGGCAGGCTCATAGCAGTGGAAGAACAAGGAAAAGACCTTTTAAAAAAAGATACTATAATACAGAAGCTAGGCAAGGCGGCCCCGGCCTGTAACCCCAGCACTCTGGGAAGCAGAGGCGGGCGGGCGGATCGCTTGAGCCCAGGAGTTTGAGACCAGCCTGGCCAACATAGAAAGGCCTCGTCAAAAAGACAAAAGAGTAAAATGAATTTAATAAAATGAGGTTCAACTTTTACTCATGTTTGTACCTAATGACAAGCTCGTAAAACTGAAAAGTTCACTATTGGCTCCTGCCCATAGGCTCCAGGCCGAGTAGGGGCCGGGGCCTCCCTGCACTGCGGGGTCACGGGTGCCCCGGGACCACTCCCCGAGCGCCCTCCGACCCGCATGCTCAGCGCAGCTCCGTTGGCGGCGCGCCACGGGCAGAGCGGGTTCAGCGGGGAACGGAAGCTCAGCGCGGAGACTGGGATCCCGCAGGCTCACTCCGCAGGGCCGCGGCTCCTCTCTGTGCAGGTGCTGGGCCCGCAGGGGCGGGCGACGAGGTCCGCGCCGAGACCCAAGCGGGGAGAAAGCGAAGAGCGGAGGACGGGGCAGGCGCACCGGGAACCTCCGCCCCTACGCACGAGCCGAGAGTGCGGCGCTTGACACCTGCACTGCAAACGCCAGGCCGCATCCCGAGCTCCCAAGCCGCGAATACGCGCGCCCGCTCGTGACGTCATCTTTTGCGGTCTCCCCGAGAGTCGGCAGCGGGCGCCGCCATGATGCGTTACGGAAGCCGATAGTTCTTGCCCGGCGTCACCCCGTCGTTCCGGCTCTCGACGTTGCCACAGAGCTTCCGAGAGACGCGGCCGCCACCCAGAAGCGCTCTCGTTGGAAGCCCCGCTCGTGGGGCCCTGCTGCCTGCGCCGCCTCTGCCGCCCGCAGCCCGACGGGCGCCGCCATGTTGGGGTCCTAGCCGGGGGCGTGTAGGTGTCTTCATAAGATGCCGGGGCTGCGGCGCGCGCTTTCCCCCAAGATGGCGTCCATGCGGGAGAGCGACACGGGCCTGTGGCTGCACAACAAGCTGGGGGCCACGGACGAACTGTGGGCGCCGCCCAGCATCGCGTCCCTGCTGACGGCCGCGGTCATCGACAACATCCGTCTCTGCTTCCATGGCCTCTCTTCGGCGGTGAAGCTCAAGTTGCTACTGGGGACGCTGCACCTCCCGCGCCGCACGGTGGACGAGGTGAGGCAGGCGGGGCGCCCCGCGGCCTCCAGATTCCCAACCTTCCCACCTCCGACCCGCACACCCTACTCCTGCCCCTGCTCCGGACCCTCCTCGGTCCCTCCCCCACCTTCCCATCCCCTTTCAGACTGTCAGCCTCCCCAGGGTCCTCAGCCCTCACGCCCCCTCCTCGCTCCTCCTAATCCCTCCCTCCAGTCCTCACCTCCCCCTGGGTCTTCATCCCCCGCCTCGATCCTCATCTCCCACCTCGGTTCTCATCCCCACCCTGGGTTCTCAGCTCCCCCACCCCGCACCTCCTCGCGCCCTGGGAATCCCCCCCCAGGGTCCTCACCTCCCTACTCTTCGTCCTCACCCCTACCTAAGTTTTCACCTCCCCTGGGATCCTCAGCCTCCTCCGCGCCGGGCCCCGGGTTCTCACTACGACCCCCAGTTCCTCACTCCCCTCCTTGGGTCCCTGGGTACTCATCCTCCCCCGCCCCCGGTCCTCACCGCCCTAATCCCCCACCGTCCCAAAGCGACCCACTCTCGGGGTGGGGGTGCGCCGGCCCCAGCGGGGTCTCCCGTCGGGGACGCAGCCCTGGTGACCAGGGCGAGGGCGGGGGTCCCGAGAGAAACCCATGTGAGGAAGGGGCGGCCTGTGCTCTGCAGCTCCGGTGTCCGCTGACTGCATTCTCTTGTTCTCACCTCGCAAAGACCTCGGCCGCCCGGAGCGCTCTATGTCCATTTTACTCTTTTCTGCACGCTGTTTGGCGTCATTCCAATGAGTGGGTGTGTGAGGTTTGTTTTCTTTTTCCTCAACGTTATATTGTATCTCTTTCCGTGCGAAATAAACCAAGTAGTTTTGCAGACTATTGAAGCCCCGTGGTTGTTTAAACGTTCCCGGCTACTGGTGTATTATATTATAGGTTGTAATTGTTTTTTACTGAGATATGACAGGTATGGAAAAGTGCATTTTTGTTCAGTTTCACGAATAATAATAGCATCGTGAGCCACTCCTGTGATCCTCACACAGGTGGAGATACAGAACCATGCCTGTTCCTTGGAAGCCTCCCATTGGTAATCACAGCCTTCTTACTTTCCCCTCCCTCATTTTGGAAAGGTGATCATTTCTGTACCATCTCCCCGGTGTTAGCAATTATTTATGCACCCCTGAATGGCACAGCTTGATTGCCTGATTTGGACTTAGTGTGATGGTATCATAGTGTATTTTGTGTGTGGCGTGCATGTGTCCTTTTGGTGGACACCTTGACAGTTTCATCCAGGTTGCAGCTGACTTGGTTTAATTTTCACTGCTCTGTGGTATTCCTTTGAGCACGAAGCACTCTATCCATTCTATCACAGTGACACATTTAGCTTATGGCCAGTTGTGTGCTGTTGTAAATAATTCTGTTACTACATTATTGTGATGTGTTGCATCAGGTATTTGGAATCTTGGGATTTCTCTAGGGTATAATATCTAGGAGTGGAATTGTGGGGATCATAGGATTATGCCAAATTATTTTTCAGAGTGTTTTGTTTTTGTTTTTTTGTTTTGTTTAAGTCCGGGTCTGGCGCGCTGTCACCCAGGCTGGAGTGCAGCTGCACAATCATGGCTCACTGCAGCCTTGACCTCCTGGGCTCAGGTGATCTTCCCATCTCAGCCTCCTGAGTAACTGGGAATACAGGGTTTCACCATGCTGCTGAGGCTGGTCTTGAATTCCTGACCTCAAGCAGTCTGCTTGCCTCAGCCTCCTAAAGGGCTGGGATTACAGGTGTGAACCATGGCACTCGGCCTGCTTCTTGGTTTTCTGTTTTGAGAATTGTATATTCAAATCTGCTTTTAAATTCTCTTTTTTTCCCATTGTTTTGTAAGAGTATCTTTTTTATTATTTATTATAAATGCTAGATGTCAGTCCTTTTTCAGTTACAAATATCTCCCAGTTGTCCTTTGACTTAGCTTCCTGGAATCCTTTTTTTTTGTTTTTTTGTTTTTTGACCCCAGGCTGGAGTTCTGTGGCCCGATCTCTGCTCACTGCAAGCTCCGCCTCCCGGGTTCACACCATTCTCCTGCCTCAGCCTCCCGAGTAGCTGGGACTACAGGCGCCCGCCACCACACCCGGCTAATTTTTTGTATTTTTAGTAGAGATGGGGTTTCACCGTGTTCGCCAGGATGGTCTTGATCTCCTGACCTCGTGATCCACCCACCTCAGCCTCCCAAAGTGCTGGGATTACAGGCGTCAGCCACCATGGCCGGCTTTTGTTTTTCATTTTATGTTTTTTTTTGAGACAGCGTCTCACTTCGTCACCCAGGCTGGAGTCTAGTGGTATAATCATAGCTCACTTTAACCTTGAACTCCTGGGCTTAAACAGTCCTCCCTCCTCAACCTCTGTACTAGCTGGTACAACAGATGCTCTACCACCACGCCTGGCTAATTTTTGTGCGTGTGTATGAAGATGGTGGGGGTCTTACTATATTGCCCAGGCAGGTCTTGAACTAGCATCAAGTGATCCTCCTGCCTTGGCCTCCCATAGTGTTGGGATTACAGGTGTGATCCGTGCGTCCAGCGTCTTCCTGGAATCGTGGATGAATAGAAACTCCTAGTTTTTACGTAGATGGTGTATTCATCTGCCCACTATCATTGGTGCCTATTGTGTCCCCAAGGGACATGCCCGGAACACTCCCTGGGTTATCTTGGCGTAGCTGTACGGTTTTGCCTTTTGCACTTGAATCTTCAGTCTGTGTGGAATTGATTGTGTGAAGCAGGGAGTCTAATTTTCCACGTGGATGTCCAGTTAGTCCAGCATCGGACGTTGATTGAAATGACTGTCCTTTTCCATTGATCTGCACTGTAACTTCTGCTGTGGATCTGTTTCTGGGCTGTGCTCTGTTCTTTTGGTCATTTACATATTGATGTGCTAATAACCCACTAAGTCGGTTCCTGTCACTTTATTTCTAAGTCTTGTTAGCTGACGGAGCAAACCCTCCCACTGTATTTTTCTCTGGGATCATCTTTGGCTATTCTTGTCCCTTCACACGTCTACCTGTATCTTCTATACTTACTTCTTCCACACATAGAGCCTGCCTGCTGGGATTTTAAGGCTGAACCGAATTTGCAGTTCATTCTGGGGTGTTGTCCTCTTTATATTGCATCTTATAATTTGTGGGTGTGGGCATATCTATTTAGCTGTTCTTTATGATCTCTGTAGAGGCCTTCCATCTCATATATTACCACCTAGTTAGTATTTTCCACGCCGTTGTACATGGGGTCTGTTAGTCTTAGTTTTGACTTGTTGCTGGTTTAAGAAACGCAGTTGAGGCCGGGCGCGGTGGCTCAAGCCTGTAATCCCAGCACTTTGGGAGGCCGAGACGGGCGGATCACAAGCTCAGGAGATCGAGACCATCCTGGCGAACACGGTGAAACCCCGTCTCTACTAAAAAAATACAAAAAACTAGCCGGGCGAGGTGGCGGGCGCCTGTAGTCCCAGCTACTGGGGAGGCTGAGGCAGGAGAATGGCGTAAACCTGGGAGGCAGAGCTTGCAGTGAGCTGAGATCCGGCCACTGCACTCCAGCCTGGGCAACAGAGCGAGACTCTGTCTCAAAACAAACAAACAAACAAAAAAACAAAAAAGAAATGCAGTTGATTTTTGTGTTTTGTGTTTTGGTTTTTGTTTTTGAGACAGAGTCTCACTCTGTCACCCAGGCTGGAGTGCAGTGGTGCGATCTTGGCTCACTGAAACCTCTGCTTCCCCACCTCAGGTGATCCACCTACCTCGGCCCCCCAAAGTGCTGGAATTACAGGTGTGAGCCACTGTGCCCGGCCTGATTTTTGGATAATGAGTTTGTGACTAGCATCTGTGCTAAAGTTTTGCTAGTTGCAAAAATTTTTTTCTATAGAATCTTCTTGATTTTTCTGTGCATTTCATATTATTTTTCTTTCTCCAATTACCTTTTGTTTTTTTCTTGTTTCACTGGACTGGCCAGGACCCTCCTTCGATCACACAGGGAGAACTTGGAATGTTTTGCCAGTAAGCATCATGTTCCCTGTTGTCTTTAATAAATACCCTTTATCTAGTTAAGGAAATTCTCTTCTTAGAAGACTTGTAAAAAAATCTTTTAATCATGAATTATTAAAAAATAGCTTTATTAAGATATAACGTATAGCTGGGTGCAGTGGCTCATGCCTGTAATCGCAGCACTTTGGGAGGCCAAGATGGGCGGATTGCTTGAGCCCAGGCATTTGAGATCAGCCTGAGCAATATGGTGAAACCCCGTCTCCATAAAAAATATAAAAATTAGCCACGGGTGGTGGCACATGGCTGTGGTCCCAACTACTTGGGAGGCTGTGGCGAGAGGATCGCTTGAGCCTGGGAGGTTGAGGATGCCGTGAGCCATGATTGCGTCACTGCACTCTGGCCTGGGCTACAGAACAAGACCCTGTCTCCAAAGAAAAAATATATTATTTATATTATTTATGTACCATATAATTATGCCAGATAGTTCACAATTTAAAATGTACAGTTCAGTGCTTTTTAGTATATTTACAGAGTTGATGATCATTCTAGTCAGTTTTCGAACATTTTCATCATCCCCCAAATAAATCCTATACTCATTAGCGTTTCCCCAGTCCTCTTCCTCCCCACTCCTAGGTGACTAGTAATCTAAGTTTTGCTTTATAGATTTGTCTATTCAGGATATTTTATATAAATAGAATCATACATTTAATGTAATTTTTTTTTTTTTGAGACAGAGTCTTGCCCTGTCACCAGGCTGGAGTGCAGTGGCGTGATCTCGGCTCACTGCAAGCTCCGCCTCCTGGGCTCACGCCATTCTCCTGCCTCAGCCTCCCAAGTAGCTGGGACTACAGGCACGCGCCACCATGCCCAGCTAATTTTTGTATTTTTAGTAGAGATGGGGTTTCACCGTGTTGGCCAGGCTGGTCTCTATCTCTTGACCTCGTGATCTGCCCGCCTTGGCCTCCCAAAGTCCAAAGTGCTGGGATTATAGGCGGGAGCCACTGAA